AGCTCTTTCATGAATAGGAATAGGATGCCTAGTTTCGCGTTTAACAACAAAAAAATTGTTGTTGTTTGTACAAAGGTTGATCTGAAACACAAATGAACTAGTAGAAATTCAATGTTCCGTCTAAGCTAATTGTTAAAACTTCGACAATTTTTTCCTCTGTACCAAAAATAAAGTACATTTTCCAACTATAATCGGGTTTTTCAGCGCCAAAACATCTCGTAAACGCCGAAAAGGTCTCATTTTGTAGGAAATTCATTTTCTATCGACCTCGGTGTTTTCCAAAAACACTTAGTTCGTTGTTATTCATTGATAACAATGAAAACGATGTTGAGGTAGTAGACATTGGCGTTGTGACTGTGTCGTTGAGTATGACTGTTGGCGCAGCTATTTCATCTACGATTACAAAAGTATGGCACATTACTAGTAGAGGGTATAACTCTCAAACTATAGATTTAATATTGTCTACAGTTTACGATTAACTTCTCTCCTCCCTCCAGTGTAAATTATCTGATACATAAACTCAGCGCGTAGCCTAAGCTAAAGAAATTGTAGAGATAATTGAAAATGCAATATTTACTTAGTGTAGAACTTAATGGTAGAGCTGATGGTGATCTTTTGAATCGATAATATCCAGAAACACGATTGGCCACTATTAGATGATGATGTTACGGAATGCGATATTTTCTCTTTTGGTATCGCTCTTTTGTCGTATGGATGGATTCCGGCTTTAGCAAATCCACCTGAACAATAAGCTGGACGTAAAGCATTTGTATATAATTGCTTGAATAATAATGGAAATTAACAAAACAAGAGTTAAGGCACAATATTTTGTCACCATACGCTTAGTTTCTTTGGTAAAGAACAGAGATGCAGCTTAGCACTAATTCTGACTTCATGTTGAAGTCGTACTCCTTACGAGGTGAAAAAGGCCTGTGTCTATTTAGACGAAAGAGTATCTTTTAGACTCGTAACGAGTTTAAGCGAACGTTATTTAGCTGCTCACTCTAGCCCTACTGAAAGGAAAGTTGAAAGTCTGCTTTGCAAACTATTTTGAACGCTTAAGGAGCCGGAATAAATGTTGTACTCTTACATACTTTATAGAGGTTGGGGAGGCTGAAGAGGCAGAGGTTGTTTTGAACTCGTTACGAGTACAAATCAGTGTTATATTCTCACGTAATTTAGGGGGGGAGAAAATTGAGAATGATGGACACAATTGCGAATTTTTCGGCTTTATTCACAAAAAAAGGAATTTTCTCAGCAATGAAAAGGAATCATTTGAATTGGTAACGGATTCAAAACAACTTCCCAGTCTCAAAACAGACGGTGGCATTTTTCATCTCGTAAAGAGTTTAAAGACTGCCACCCGTGCTAATTCTATTGGTTCTAACCTTTACCAAACACTTATCTACTTAAAGGTGGCATGATATCTAAGTAGTTTCGACTGCATGAATAGAAATGTGCGGATAGCCAGGGGGGAAGCGATAAGCAGACCGAAAAATATAGCCATGTGATGTTCAAACAATCCCCTACTGAACCAGTCGAAACTTTAAAAGAAATGTTCTGCCATCCAGCCTGACTGACTTCTATTGTGCATTGTTTCAGGATAATTTTTCTTCAGCATCCAAGTGCTGTATAACCGTTCTGCTTTGCACTCCCCTCCTCAGAATAGGAGACCAGAGCCTTCTATCATGGTTTTGCACATCACACTTTTTTTGGTGAAAAACTGCTCTACGTTTTTCTGCTATAGGACGTTCTTCAAAAATTTTCGCTCCAAAGTGACCTTCTATTCTGGGGGCGGCAGGAGGTGGCACAATATAAGGTGGAAAATATCTGCAGCAAATAAACAGAAAACTGTTCATTTTATCGTCTTACACGTCTTTACTTTCTTTTACCTGTCACTAGCTGAAGTTGTCAGTAAAACCGTAGTATGCTTTTTACTAGCTCTTTCATGAATAGGAATAGGATGCCTAGTTTCGCGTTTAACAACAAAAAAATTGTTGTTGTTTGTACAAAGGTTGATCTGAAACACAAATGAACTAGTAGAAATTCGATGTTCCGTCTAAGCTAATTGTTAAAACTTCGACAATTTTTTCCTCTGAGGTTTGGGTAGTGAACTTACATTTTATCCGATCAAGCGCTTAATCGAGCTCAGTTTGCCCCCCCAGATTTGTCTTTTAGTCTACAACTGAAACTTTGGATGACCTCTATTTTACTTTGGTGTCATCACTCAGAATAGGATCATATTCTTTCCTAATGAATTTAGATAACTCTTCAATATAAAAGCTTTGTTATACTATCAGAAGGAGTATAATCTGCATAATGAAAAGAGAGACCTGTGCTTAAAAAGAAAATTTTATTTTATTGGGTTCCATCATCGACCGAATTCCTGTTATGGACATTTAACTGAGGTAACGGTTTGTTGAGTTCACGATGACCGTGTGATGCCATAGCGGTAATTGGAAGACTGGCCATTAAAAGTATTCAGCGTGTGTTTTCTTTCTACAACATGTTTTAAATCTTTACTCACATTCGTGGTAGCTATTATCTTTGAGCAGAAAAAGTGAAAATAAATGCGATGCTATAGTTCTGAGAGCCACCGTAAATAAAAGTCGTGACAGTCATATATTAATCAGTATATAAATTCATGACAAATAAAGTGATCACAAAACTATCCAGGTTATATTTGGGAACATAGTAAGTCTAATACACATAGACTTTGAAACAATACCTTACCTCATTGTGTAGCGCTCTCAATTCTGCTTCTTTCTAAGAAGAGCTATAATCATTTTTGTGTGCCACTAATAGTGGCCCACTGTAGGGAAAACATTTAAGTAGAATAGGGTCTTTGTTAATATACGAAGTCGGATAACTTATATTTTTGTTTTCTTATAAAGTATATACTTTGTCTTAAAATTTATTATTTACAATCAACGGACGTTTCGATTACATCGAGCAATCTTCTTCAATATCACGTAAACATATCTTTAATAATAGTTATTTTGAAACGCATCCATGCATTTATTAAGCCACTCTTCAGACGACACAACTGAGATTAGTGTTTCCTTTTCGAACAAAAGCTTTTAAGACATGAGTAGAACAGATCATTATTCAGCTTGAGTCTAGCTGCAGCGAGTTGGAAATTGTGAGTAGTTGAACAATTGCATTTTTCAAAGTGAATAAACAAATGTTTTCAATTTTCGATCGTTCAATTAATAAGAGATTCTGTTCCGTTCCTCATTTTCTTTTAATTTATTATTTAATTAAATTTTAAATTAATAAAGAACTCTGTCACCGTAAGCAACCATCTTCAAGTTCATTATCGATATCTGTACTAATACTTATTGTGTTGTTTTTCCTCGCATAAACTGAACACTTTGTAAGATTGACATAGACTTTCAACTGGTCCGTGTATCGGTACCGGCGGTTGATTTGGGCTGAGCGAATTTTGCTCGTAACTAGTATATGTGGCTTTACACTCAACTTTATCATGACCAAATTTAAATAAATATGTAATTATATCCACTGATCGATAGCATGGTTGAGCCAATGTTGGAGACGAAAAGTCTAATGATTTAGCCTCAATACCATTTTTTCCATTACATTTCCAAACGCCATATCCATCTGAGAAGGGTGTATCAGTTTGTTGTGTTGAATACTGATTGCCATCTTTATTAGAAAGAACCGCGGTGAATGTGCCATCAGGGTGAAATGTTATTATTTCATGAATGGTTGAATTAATATAACTTGAATAATAGACGCCTGCATGTTTATAGCATTCATTTAAACAACCATGTTTTGGTAATCGGAATTCATAATTCTCATTATTACCTGCATCAGTATGTGCCACAGCAATACTCAAGACAACAATTAAGACAAACAACATGATGATGATGATATGACAGATATAGATTACGAATATGTGTAGAGAGAGAGAGATGTGGTGATGTTGAAGATAACATTCAAAACATGCTGGTATATATATATAAGCATCGAATAGTAGTGCATGGGTATTTAATTAATAGTCGATGGTGCAACCTATTAAAATAAAATTTTCATTCGAAGCACATGTTGTTTATAGTTTTCCCTCTTTTCATGTAGATTGCTGGAGATAAAAAGACAAAATACATGTTTAGAGTCGTGGAAAATGTGAAAATAATTTTTTGTTATTTGATAATATAGTTCTTATGAAAGAACCAATGTCAATAGGAGACAAAATCGGTTACCTCACAGATCAATAGTAAGTCAAATGATTTGATGTAATTTTTAATCCTTACCTATTATTCGACCTTGAATATTGTTTTCAATGTCCCCTGATGGAATTTTCGAAAACAAAGCTTGTCTCTTGTTAAATGTACTCACAGTATTTTCATTATTTCATCGCTTTCGCTTAGAGGAAACCAATTTTATTTCACTTGATACTTTTCGTTACAACCAAGCCAAAGTTGTGAATATTATTGTTTATTGGAAATGTGAAGGTGTGCTATACAATATGGATCGGATCCACCAAGTACGAAGAAACCGCACAATCAACAAAACATGTGCAGTAGCATTTATACCACCGCAAGAAGTTGGAAATTATGGACATTGATTATGGAGCAGTTTCAAGATATTGAGCATATTGAGGTATTTTATGATTATGTAACAAGTACGTGGGTGGATAATGATTCGTTATTCGATTTATCACTGTGGGATTATTTTGATTTTAAAAGTTCAAGAACAAATTAATAGTTTAGAAGGTTGGCATCATCGTTTAAATACTGATTTAAATCATATCATACATCCACATTTTTATATGTTTATTCGTGCTATTCAAAGCGCTTATGCATATAATTCAGCAATATCGTCACGTCATACAACTACTGGTGCAATACCACCAAGAAAAAAGTTATTTGTGAATCGAAATGCACCATTACACGATTTAGAAAATCGTTATAAACAACAAGCATTAACACTGGAAGAATATCTTGAAAAAGTGATGCGATTAATTGGTATCACAAAGTTTTGATTTTCATTTATTTTTCGTTTGTGTTGTTCCTTGCTCTAATAATGTACGCCGGTACTATTTCAATAGAATCGTTTGGAATAATTCAGCATTCTTTTTAATTAGCCTATTTAAAAAAGTCCTATCAATTAATAATATTCTATATTCTACTTTTTTCAATACAGTCTATTAATTAGAATAATCTATATTCTATTTCTAGTTTTATTTTTCGACGAAACAGGAACAGCTAAAGCTTTATTTTCGACAAAATGGGAACACTAGAAAGAAAGCTCTAAATATTTTTTCAATCAAACAGGAATATTAATTAAGCTTTCGACGAAACGGGAATTACCCACTGAAATCAATGAAATTAACTAATAATTGGATAGAATATCGATTTTATTTAAAACGCTTTGGATCAGTTCAAGCATTAACATTAATCGATATAAATTCTCACCAAGTATGCACAATATTACGAGAACAACAACAGCAATTACAATACTTAAAACTGATGTATAATAGGCACATGAGACATCAGTTAAGTGCAGTTATTGAAATAATACGAAATAAATTACAGCTACCAATGTTGAATACTTTGATAATTGATCATGATAGTGATGTGCATTATTTTCTTTCGAATCAAATAAGATCGCTAGCTGCATTGCCAAATATTGTTCATTTATCTGCTCCAATAGAATACCGTTTAATTTGGATGAATTCAGATTTGAAGAAGTTGTCATTCGTAGATCTATGGACATTCTATGGTTTATCGCATCGTTTTAAAAGATTTAATAGTACAATACCTCTCGAACATTGGCAACGGATACAACAGAGACAGCAATTCAATGAGAAGAGAAAACAAGAGATGCAAAGAAAGACGCCAAAGATACAAAATCAGAGAAAAACAGAATGTAGAAGATACAATTGATGATTTAGTTTTGAAAAAGAAAATTTTGTAGCTAAAGCTATTAAGTATGCATGTACTTTTTTGAAGATCACATGAAGGAAAGAGTCTGATTAACATTCTTCGTCATGTATATATCCTCAAATACAAAATCCAGACTTCTACTTCCCAGGCAAAAATCACCTATGAGGAAGATCTAGATACATTTCATCTTTAATTGATGCACGGCCACTTGTCATGTAGATCACTAGTTGGAAAAGGGACTTTTAACTAGTTGCCTCTGAATGAACAACTAGCAATAGTAAAATCGATAGTTGCAACTGAGGAGAAATCTATCAATCACCCGATTACTAGATTTCCACTGTCGTTACAAAATATCTGCAATCGAGTAAAAATTTCTTATCTACAAAAACCGGGGTACACTAGATTTTTTTAATGCTCGGGTTATAGGTTGTACCATTAAACTAGAACAAGTCGATTTCAGTGCCAAACTCCGAGGTACCAATATTTTATTTTTATCCAAAATCGGTTTTGTTTTCCACTCTGTGTTTATATCAAGACGTTCTTTTAAAGTTTAAACAACATCTACGTTCCTTTTATGATAATCGCTGCCTTGTTCCTCTTTCCTTCTGTTTCCTATATAAACACATCGTATGCGTTAAAGAAAAAGTTTCTTCTCATTTGTATTAAAAAATAAAGGTTAGAACACTGGTCATATGGCTTTTTGGGCATACTATCAATATTATTCTTTTCATACCTGCTTACAATATCAGGCCAAGTGATATGTGAGTGGTCAAAGTTATTATGCATAGTCATTGCGATTTTTGATGTATGTTCAGTTGAATCATATCAGTACATTCACGGAACACACAAGGATGTTTTTCAGGAGGGCCATCATTAAAGGTGAATTTGGTAATTATTAATTACTTTTATAAAATCCTATTGAAAGTTTTTTTTTATAAAAGGCGTAGATTAGGGGCTCATCTTACCCTCATTCACTTTCAAATTCTGAGTTTTATGTTTTATTCGACTAGGTTATTAGCTAATACGTACAAAACAGGAAAATCGATCAAATACTCCTCTATCCCGCATAATGGTAGTGAGGAAATTATCATTT